TAACCAACCTTATTTGGAATAAATCATTCTTTTTCTTTCATACACAAGGAACTGAGATTCTAGTGGACAATACCTGAAAAACTAACATCTAGAAAGGAGACTAACACAGTGCCGATGAGAGGACTGATAACTATTATGTTAGCTTGACATTGGCTCTCCCCACATCCACTCCTGAAAAATCTCGTCACTCTGTCCCAAACAGAGTCAAGCGCAATAGTCAATAGAAGCAGTAAGCCGTTTCTCGCACAAGCCAGGGTACTCAGCAAAGGGCTCCAGTTAGCCAAAGGGCTCTGTTTTAAGCCCAAGTCTCTTATCCCCACCCACCCCCCTTCTCTTTCCAGTGGTTGAGTGTGTGCACGCACGAAACAAGAGTTCCTCTATGCTAAAAGGCCCAGGATTGCTTTGTGTCCTAGCCTCAAAGGAGGCAAACTGGAGGAAGCTGCATAAGCAGCAAAGAAAATAGCAGTTCCCGCTGGAGGAAGGAGTGGGGTCCTTTGGGTTGATCAAAGCCTCAGGGCTGGGCAATTTTGGCAGCTTCTGCCTTGATAAGAGCAATCAAATCTTGGTTGATGAGGAAAACAAAGCGCAAGCTGGCAATCTAGAAAAAGAGGGAGGGAGGGAGAATAGAATTAAATCAGTTTATTTGTATAGAATTCAGGGGCAGGCAACCTTGGCTCTTTTATGACTTGTGGACTTCAACTCCCAGAATTCCTGAGCCAGCATGGCTCAGCTTGGAAACCTCTCCCTTTCCCCTCAGCATGGCTGGCTCAGGAATTCTGGGAGTTGAAGTCCACGAGTCATAAAAGAGCCAAGTTTGCTTACCCCTAGTATAGATTCTGCTTTCATACCCAATTAAGACACAAGCTACCTTGAGAAGTTTTTCCACCAGTGTGGAGATCTTCAATGGCAGCTAACTAGAAGGTTCTTAGGCTAAAGTGACTCGTGTGTCCTCCTTCCTGGCCAGGAGGGAACACGAGCTGGCCCTCCATTTAAGGCCATCTCCCCATCTGAGAGCTGCAGTCCCAACCCCTCTGAAGGTGCCACATTGGTGAAGGCTGTTAGCATCTGGGCTCAACTGAGTCCATGCAGATAGGCTGTAAGCATGGGATAGACCCACTGGTAATTTGCCCTGGTTATTATTACTAAATTTATAGCAATATTTATATTCTGGCCACTTCAAGTTAATTCTAAGCAATTCAATGTTTTAAAAAACACACACACAGGTAAAGCAGAACAACAGCCAATATAAAGATCTCAATACTTTAGTATAATAAGTCCACAAAACCAAGTTAAAATTAACAGAAGAATAAAAATTACCGATTCAGCATCAATTAGCAAGAAATGCTATTTAATTTAATCTGAGCTCTAATTTCCCAGTCTTCCCACCCTCTAAAAAAGAAAAAAAAACATTAGAACAAGAGGGATACATCCTACGGGCAAGGAGACAATATCTAACTCCCAACTTTTTCTGCTACAAAGCACAGCCAGCCCCCGCTCACCTCAACCACAGAGTTATTGCTGAGTTTCCACTTGCTGCCACAAAGTACTGGCCGCCCGTCAACATAAATGGGTCGTCGGCCTTCGTTTGCCAGGAAAAAGTCCCCGTTGTTCTTCAGCTTGATGACACCTGTGTGCATTTAGGAAGAGATTAAGTTGACTTGGACTTTTCCCAGGAGGAAGAGAGCAAAGCCACGATGGAAGGTAACTGGGTCCCAAGCCACATGAATTTAGGCCACAGCCACCGTGGCACTGCCTTTAGAGGACATGTTGACCTTTCTTGAGAAACAGTTTATCTTCAAAAGTTAAAAGAGGCAATCTCCCGCCCAGAGAAGGCTCTCAAACTAGGCAGCCTGAAGAAAGGCCACTGAATACAGGAAGTCCTCGACTTACAAAGTTATGACAGACATTTCTCCCCCCCCCAACTCAAAAGCTACTTATGACCTGATTTCAAAGTTATGACAGATGCATACCCATCTACCCGGTCATGTGATTGCATTTTGGGTTCTTGGCAATCAGCTCCCCTTGATGGCCACCCGTAGCATCCCGCGGTCACGTGGCTGTGGTTTTTGGTGCTTTTGCCAGGTTGCAACATTTACGTCCAGTTTCTGACAAAAAAATGCCCATTGGATAAAATGGAATTGCTTAGGCACGGCGTTCGCTTAACGACTAGGGCATTTGCTTAACAACCACCCAAAAAAACCCCCATCAGCTCAAATCATGCCTCAACTTACAACGGTAATTCCATTCTCAGTCACGGTTGTAAATCGAGGACTACCTGAATGTACTTTTCACATGAGGATAATAAATGTATGAGGAAAAACTGCAGAGCTGGCTGGGGGGGGGGGGGGTTCACAGGATTCCAACAAATGCCTCAAAGATTTCATAGGCTCATCAGGATGGGCAAACACCATCTTACTTTTGCACTACTTTCAAATTTTAAAAACAGCTGTTTATCCTGGCCAAAAAAAAATATTCTCAGGCATCTTGCAAGGTGAAGCTAGTGTCTCAGGAACCACAAGCAAGACTCTGGGATCTGGTTCCTGATAGTAATGCTATCAGGAACCATGTGTACAGATACCATGTGTACAGATGGCTGTACACATCTTGCTCAAAAGTTTTTTGTTTGTTTTTTTCCCAGTAATTCAGAGGCAAGAATCAATTCCAGTACCTTGTTTGCGGGAGATTTTCCAAGCAGGGCCTTCCAGTGCCAGATCTACATCAATCTGATTGTCTTTGGTGGCTCTGCCAAGCGTGATCTAGAAAAGGAAATTAGATTAAAAAAAAAAATTCACTTTGCATAGCAAGCACAGCAGGGTTTTTGCTGGCGCCAGCGATCAAAACGAATCGGGTGAACTGACCCAATACATTTGTTTCTGATTTTGCAAAAGCTGACTTTTCTAAAAGTCCAGATGATGGCATGGAGACAAGCTAAGTGAAAAAAAGTGAAGTTCATCACAGGATTGAAAATTACACTAAGAACTCGGGTTCTCGGGCTTTCACTTTGTCGCAAAGTAAATTACATATTAAGGGTGTTAACAGTAAAGGAGTGGAAATCAAGAACCAATGTTAATTCTCCACTCCAGTGCCTGTATAATGTTATCTTCCACTGTCTGGGAAAGAGAATTAAAAAAAAAAAATACCAGTACCTCTTGAATTAAAAACTGTCCTTCTATCAAAACGTTCTCAGTGAAAGAGCCCAGAGTCTTCAACCTTTCAGAACAAACAGATAGGCTGCGTACCACAAAATCAAATGCAGCTCGATTGTGGGTAGCTAATTTGTATGATTGGAAAAAAAAGGATTCAACTTCCTCTCCTTGATCCAAGCAGGTAATACGTTCACCTCCTCAGTTTTGGGCCCGGCTAAATGAAAAAAACGGAACTCACCTCCCGGGAGCGCATGAGGTAGCGTACCATCCGTCCACGCAGCACAGCCAAGGTCTGGTTATCAAAATCAGGGGAGCTCATTCCTAGGAGGAAGAAAAAGAGTAAAAGAGGCCGGCGAGGTTTTGAGAAACGGGGCCGACCATCGTTTTGCGAGCTTGGCAAGAGAAAAGTGTCTAGTGGCTAAGAGTTGCATTTGGCGTGTAAGTTTAATAAATAAATAAATAAATCGTGCCTGGGCGTTATTTATACTAGCGGTCCCCCCAACCTTTCTGGCTCTGCGGACCGGCAGTGGGGGGGGCGGGGAGGGGGGCAAGGAGATGATTTCGCGTGCTCAACCTAATCCCGCGCATGTGCAAAGGGAGCTTCACGTGTTTCGCCCACCGCTTGCGTGGATCTGTTCCCAGTGGGCCGCGAGGCCAGTACCAGCCCGCAGACTGGGGGTTGAGGGAACCCCCTGATTTATACCCCTTCCGTTCCCAAGCTTGGCTTCCCAGCTAAGTCCTTTCAAGATCCCCTGGCTGCTCTTTCCAGCTACAAGGAGGCCTCTGCAGACTTTTCTCACCTGTTATACTGTCCACCAGCACTTGCCATTTGTGCAGCTCTTGCTCCAGCTGCCGAATCTCACGCTTCTGCCTCCGGTCCGCCACGGTCAGTTCTGCGAGGAGGAAGGCAACCGCCAAGGAGAGCGCATGTTTAATAGAGAAGTGCAATGGCATTATTTTATAACGAAGGTGAAGATAATTCTGAAATCCTGGGTTTGTTTCTTCCCCCCCCCCTCAAATTCCCTTCTTTAGATTGCCCACCACCATTCAACCCTGGCAGCTCCTTCCTCCCCTTTTTGCAGGAAACGATCAAGAACATGACAGAAATCGACTGAAGAACCCTAGCCTTTTAAGATCTCCCATCTCTCCCAACAAGGCTTCTTCCTTCTTTTGGCTCGGCTGCCGTCGGGCTTCTAACTTCAGAGGTTCTTACCAAAAGGAGGCAGGATGCCCTGTGGCCCTATTTCCTTGGACCATCAAGCAAATAAAGTCCAGCCCTACTTTTCTTCCACAGCTTTCCAACACAGAGTCTAATCCTTTGAGTTAGCACTTCCCAGGGTTTTGACCGAACAGAAAATAGTCGGAACCACACAAAGCCGATAATGCAAAAACGCAGCCATCTGCGGTCCATACATAACTTCAGGTTATCAAACCAAGTCTAACTCACCGTGTTCCAACACTTCATCTGGTACATCCCTATAGGGAAAGGGGAAAAGGGTAGAGAAAAAGAGAGAGACGGGAGGTTAAGCAGACCACAGACCGCCCACCGATTACTCCAGTATCAGTTTGGCCTTTGCTCCTGTTCTACTCTAAATTTCATTATTACAAACATGTGTGCGCCTTGGGTCAGATTTAAGACTCTGCCACTGGTGCAATGCAGACAACTTCAAAAAGCAAACGGCTATCAATTCCCAGCTGGAATTTCCCAGGACGACCAGGATGCTGGCTGCAAAATGAATGGAAATGGAAGGCGCTGCACACCAAAGGTGCTTTTTCAGGAGGAAACGGAAGGATGAGAAGCGAAACGTCTTCAAAAAAAAATTTAATTTAATTTAATTTAATAATTTAATTTATATACCGCCCTTCTCCCGTAGGACTCAGGGCGGTGCACAGCATATTAAAACAGATACAAACAAAATACATCAAAAAACAAAAAAAACCCATAAAACCAAATTAAAAGCCAAATATTGGAAGCTGTGTGTCAATTAAAATTTTCTTAAAATCATCCCTACCTAAAATCCTCCCTAGGTCAGGCCC